CATCTGGTTATTTATTTTGTCACCTTCCCTACTATCAGTTGTGTTAAAATTATTGGTGATAATCTGCAGTAATTGTCCTTTTTTTTTCATTGCGTTGTACCACTGTGCTTTGTTTTTATTGTAGTTGCAAATCCGCAACATTAAGTTTTGTCAAAAGTTTTTCTTGAACCGTTTTGTGGTGTTTGTTGTCTTGAGCAGTTTACATTTAAAGCGGTGCAGTAAGTTTCCAGTGACACAGTATCCAGATACTGTTGCAGTGGAAGAAAAAAAAACTATTCTAGCAATACGACTATTAGTCTAGTGTCACATGAACTTTAAGAGGAGATGAATACGAGACAACAAGGAAGTAAACTACCACGAATGCGCCACAACCAAAACAAAGAAGAAACTGAGGAAAGAAAACACTACAGTACTAAGGAACGAGACAAAATTGCGAAAACATCTGGTCTGGGAAGTTAGTTTTATTTCGGATAGGTCCAGATGCCACCAGATACAGTGATTTCAGAATATCAGCGAAGAGAAGTACTACTAACGTGGCTGGCGTTTGTGAATTTTAAAGCAACAATTGACTCAGTTTATGGCGGTTAATCGTTTTTGTCAAATATTAGGTTGCTTTAAAGTTTCCTACTAGGTACGAGAACTCTTTTCCTCACTCCCCTTCCTGTTTATTGGCTATTTGATGCGCTGATATGATAATTAATTTGATCATTGCTGGCGCTTAGACCCGGAGGTCCAGCAGCTGAATTCGTCAGAGCACCGACTCTTAACTATCAGCATGTATGACCGCATGCGATTGGTCAGCCACCAGCAGTAACTTTTGGTCTTATGGCGGACATTGCTACGATAACAATAGATATCTCAAGGAACAAAAATGTAACTTACCTTGCTGCAGACTGCTTCAAGCGTTTTTGGTGATTCTTGAAGAAGTAATGAAAACTGAATTATAAAATTCAGTGTTAAAACCTGCTTATAGCTCATGTTGCCCTGTGGCCTAAATGGAAGGCTAATATTTTCCTCTGTCGGTAACCTAGGTCTTAATATTTTTTCTGATTCATCGACAGCAACAACTGCCAACACAAAATTAAGAGCAAAGAAGCTTATGACGGTGCCATGACACAGCATATACATCTCAAGACCTTCGCTCGATACCAGCGAAACTGTTTTTAGAAACAAAACCTGCATAATTAAGAAAGAGCGTTGAAATTAGGGAGGTTCTACATCTAAAAAACCACCTCAATTCTTTAATACTTTCAAATCCCCCTTAGGATGCCAGCAGCTCCTCAGTTCCATATTTAACCCACCTGTAGAAATTTTTTAAAACAATATTAGAAGCAACATGTTGAAATACCGCTTCAGCTGAAAGGTCATTCACTCAACAAGGAGAAACATTTCGCCTTTGCTCATCAAAATGAAATGACTCACCACAGTCAGTTTTATTCAATAAACCCGTTTTTAGAAAGTCAATAGAGGGAAGCTAACTGCGTCTTTCATCACTGTGCCCACTTTCAAGTGGGATTTAAATTTAACACTTGTTTTTAGATCGTTTCGTTAATGTTTTATTAGTAGGTGGAGCTTCAGTAAGAGGCTATAAAAACAACGAGAAGAGAAAATTATTAATGAAGATGCCATACTTCACTTGCACATCATAAGAAAAAATATATAAAACCCTTGAACAGTCTTCATAACAGATTTTTAGTCAGAGGCATTCATCATTTTCCTTAAAGCGTTTCGAAATTGATGGATGGATTAGATTTTCGCAAGTAAAACAGAAGATGAATTCATATCATTATCAGCATGAACGCATAACTACAATTCGTGATAAAAAGGAAGAGAGGAAAGTAGAAGCAGCACAGCTTTTAACGCCCTATCAAACCTTTGTTCAACCTTTCCTCCGTGCACAACAAATTTACTCTTTCTCAAACTGAATTTGGGGGCAAATTCTCAAATCCACCTAATTTCGTGATCAATATCTTCTTAAGAGAACCACTACCTCCTTTTACCTCCCTCACATTTCTTATTTTCAACACGTTCCTCTGGTAATTAGTAATAGTAGCTCTACCGGGTGTTACAAGGAGAAGAGAACGGGATAGGGTGCCAACTTTTACAGTCTAAAACAAAAATGATAATTGAAATGCAATGAATAAACGATTGAAAGTGCTTTTCAAGCCGCTAAGTCCAACCCCTCTTTCAGTCTCAAGAATGACTTCTAGCTACTTCTGCAACGTTTATAAAATACTTGTCATTTGCCTGATAAAACACCACTAGAGAAAGCTCGACTTTTTGTTACGAAAAAATCAGTAGAAAAATTATCAGATCATGTGTAAGCATCTGAAACAGTAAACTTCTACGCACACTGGAAGACGAAAGCATACCACCCATCAGTCCAAGGCTCGACTTGAAGTCTTCGATAACCTCGATCGCAGTGGCAGTACATAAATACGTCTTCTACCGATACTAACGCTTCACCGCTTTCATGAATATTTCCAATAATGCGAATAAATTCTCGGGCGTTGTGGCACTGCTTTGTAAAAAGATTTTTAATTTGGTCGCAGAATGCCAGGGAAATTGTTCGGTCAATGTCAATCACGTAACTGTCGTTAACAAAGGAGCAAGTGTCATTTAGTGGGCAATCACAAAAGCTACGGAAGCCTTCTTTCGGTGGCGCAGAGAAGTTAAAAGGTGAAGCTACGGTAATAAACTCGTCATAAACTGGTGGTTCCATACCTGATGATTCAGTACTATCACCGGTAAACACTGCTAGTGGGAAAGAGCGTGTACGAACTGCACATGGTGACCTGTGCTGTGTCAGGCAAGATCGAGAATAAACTGTTGAGAAGATAGTTAATGCGAGAAACAAATATATGACCATAACGCAAGTTTCAGAATAAAGAGTGATGTCGGCAGGCAACTGTTGCGATGTGCATTGCGAAATGTTTAGGATGCGACACACAAAGAGCTTTACATTTACGAAATAAATGTATTATATTTTTAAGCTTGGTTTATCCAACATAACGCCTACACCTCACTACCACTGGCAAAGCTAAAATAACGACAAAACTCAAAGCCATACATCCGGCGTTTCAAAATTAAAACTTCCGAATTACCCATCTGACTACTATGATCGTCACCGCTTACCCTTAGTGAAGTGAACACTGTTTGATATAGCTTTTAAATCTTCGCAGCTCAGCTTCCTCACTCAGAATCCATGGCAACTTAGACTTCCTCACCAACCGGACAGTTTTAAATTGAGAGATTTGCTGTTACACTCCTACTTGCTTTTCCACTATCAGCGCACGCAATTTGTTCGAACGTTGATCGTGAATATAAAACTCGACAATGTTACCAGTCTATTGTCAATCGATGACTACTGTTGCGGGGAGAACACTAATTTAGAACCTTTACGCATCAAATACAAGCATATGTGTTCTCAGTCAACCAACACAGTTCATAACAGTGACCGTAGCCTTGTTATCCATGTATAACAGAAGTAAAAATAAATGAGTATCAATATTTTTCTCCACATCTACGCCGCATTCCTTACTGGTTATCCCTTCGGCAGGCGTCTCTACTGAAGTGACTGCAGTTAAGTAGTGGCTGCAACTGCTCTGAACTCTTCATCCGAAACCATATACTTCGTTTGATGAGTGGAAATACTAAGGCAGGGTCGGCAGTAAATCTAACATTATTTAAGGAAGATTATTTTCATTCTGTTCTTTTTAGGAAGTCTGTAGGTAGATTTTTGTCAACGCTAACTGAAATATTGATGTGAACATCCGAGGATTTCCCGTTAGTGTAACGCGAGGGTTAATTTTCAACTGACACCTATCCGATCCTAGCTTTATGGAGCACCGCTTTTACCGGTTTTCGCAAGCTAATTATATTTCTGTAACATGTCGTTTATTAAGAACCATATGTGCTATATAATATATAATAACATATAATATACAATATATAATACATAATATATGATACATGATATATAGTATACAGTATATTATATATAATATGTAAAATATAATATATAATATATATCACATGTTATACATTACATAATATATATTACATATTATATATATAATTAT